ATCCACATCTGGCTGCTCTGGGACAAAAGATAGGCAGGCACTCTGAGAGACTTCCCAACAGCGAGAGGGCTGCTAAAAGGGCAAGGACTGCACAGAGCTTACTGCTCAGGAGAAAGGGCATGTGAACAGAATTGTCCAGGCACACTCTGCCAAGCAGGTTGGGAACTTTCAGGAGCTTCAGGCATTCCATCCCCCTGACTACCAGCTCCAAGGCCCCCCACCATGATGTACAGCCTGCTGCTCTTTCCTCCCTGCCGACCCACACTGGCTTACAAACCGGCAGCCCTGCCCTGGCAACAGCCCAGCCAGAGGGAGGCCCCACCTATGGCATCTAAAAACGCAAAGCACAGAGGCTTACACCTGTGCACACAGCTACTGTTCCTAGCAGTGGAGAGAGGCACAGCAGCCAGGAAGCAGTAGATTTTTCCTTCTCCCAGGCACTAGCGCCACTCCCCTGCAACCCCCAACATCACTCCTGGGGCAGAGTAGCTCCAGAGTACAGCTTCTGTGCACTAGAGGGTGCCACATACAAGTATAAACAGTCTAAACTCACAATTAACGAAACTAAAAAAAGAAGAACAAATGAGGCCCAATGTCAGAAGAAGGTGGGACATAATAAAGATTAGAGCAGAAATAAATAAAATTGATAAGAATAAAACAATAGAAAGAATCAATGAAATCAGGAGCTGGTTCATTGAGAAAATAAACAAAATAGATAAACCCCTAGCCAGACTTATCAAGAAAAATAGTCTACGCACATAAACTGAATCAGAAATGAGAGAGGAAAAATCACTATGCACACCACAGAAATACAAAGAATTATGAGAGAAATACAAAGAATTATATGGTGACAAATTGGATAACCTAGAAGAAATGAACAACTTTCTAGAAAAATACAACCTTCCAAGGATGACCCTGGAAGAAACATAAAATTTGAACAGACCAATCACCAGCAATGAAATTGAAATGGTAATCAAAATGTACCTAAGAAAAAAACCCCTGGATGGAATGGCTTCATCACTGAATTTTATCAAACATTTACTGAAGACCTAATACCCAGTGTCCTTATAGATTTCTAAAAAGTAGAAGAGCTGGGAATACTCCCAAGCTCATTATATGAGACCAGAATCTCTCTAATACCAAAACTAGGCAAAGACACCACAAAAAAAGAAAATTACAGACCAATATCCCTGATGAACATAGATGCAAAAATACTCAACAAAATATTAGCAAACTGAATTCAAAAATACATCAAAAAGAACATCCATCATGATCAAGTATTATTTATTCCAGGGATGTAAAGATAGTACAATATTCGAAAATCCATTAACGTCATCCACCAAATCAACAAAAAGGACAAAAACCACATGATCATCTCCATAGATGTTGAAAAAGCATTTGACAAAATTCAATATCCATTCATGATAAAAACTCTCAACAAAATGGGTATAGAGGGCAAGCACCTGAACATAATAAAGGCCATATATGACAAACCCAGAGCCAACATCATACTTAACAGTGAGAAGGTGAAAGCTTTTCCTTTAAGATCGGGAATGAGACAAGGATGCCCACTCTCCCTGCTTTTATTCAACATAGTTCTGGGCGTCCTAGCCACGGCAATTAGAAAACACAAAAAAATAAGAAGGATCCAGATTGGTAAAGAAGAAGTTAAACTTTCACTGTTTGCAGATGACATGATATTGTACCTAAAAAACCCTGAAGAATCCACTCCAAAACTACTAGATCTAATATATGAATTCAGCAAAGTTGCAGGATACAAAATTAATACACAGAAATCTCTTGCATTCCCATACACTAATGATGAACTAGCAGAAGGAGAAATCAGGAAAACAATTCCATTCACAATTGCATCAAAAAGAATAAAATACCTGGGAATAAACCTAACAGAGGAAGTGAAAGACCTATACCCTCATGAGAAAAATTAAAGATACCAATAATGGAAATACATCCTGTACTTATGGATAGGAGTAATTATTATTATCTAAATGGCCATCCTGCCTAAAGCAATCTACAGATTCATGCAATCCCTATCAAAATACCAACATCATTCTCCAACAAACTACAGCAAATAGTTCTAAAATTCATATCTATCCAGAAAAGATCTGGAATAGCCAAAGTAATCCTTAGAAGGAAAAATAAAGATGGGAGGGGATTACGCTTCTCAACTTCAAGTTCTACTACAAAGCCACAGTAATCAAGATAATTTGGTACTAGCACAAGAGCACACCCATAAACCAGTGGAATAGACTAGAGAGCCCAGATATAAACCCAAACATATATGATCAATTAATATATGATAAAGAAGCCATGGACATACAGTGGGGAAATTACAGCCTCTTCAACTGGTGTTGGCAAAACTGGACAGCAAGTCATGAAACCATAAAACTCTTAGAAGACAACATAGGCAAAAATCTCCTGAATATAAACATGAGCAACTTTTTTTCTGAACACATCTCCTTGAGCAAGGGAAACAAAAGCAAACATGAACACATGGGACTACATCAAACTAAAAAGGTTCTGTACAGCAAAGGACACAATCAGCAGAACAAAAAGGCATCCTACATTATGGGAGAATATATTCGTAAATAACATATCTGACAAGGGGTTAACATCAGAATATACAAAGAGCTCACATGCCTCAACAACCCATAAGCAAATAACCCTATTAAAAAAATGGACAGAGGATAGGATTCAAGATGGCAGTGTGAGGAAATAAATTCAAGGTTATTGAAAAGCAACATAGTAGCATCAGTCTCTTTAATTTATGATTTCATCCTGTCTCTGACCTCAGCTATTTCAAATCAACTTTTCCTCAGTAGGAAACTCCCAGGTTCTATAACAAGTTACAACAGTGAATGCCAAGTTTCCTCTACCTACATATAGACATTAAATTAAACTCATCAGGTCATGTGTCTAAGAGATTAGGTGACACTCATACTCAAAGGCAGATCTCCATTTCCCATAAGTTAAAAATCAAGATTTTATGGGTAAGAAAGGAATCTAAACAAGGAAAATTTGCCAATGGAGATAATAAAGGTGACTAGCATTCAGAAATAAGGGGCTGGGTTGACAAGCCCCTAACATAAACCATGTTTATTGATATTCATGATGTTTTTCATATTGTAAAATTCATCTACTTGGACTGCTTTCTATCTCTGATTATACAGATGCTGTATCTTATGCATGACTGACCAAAGTATCACTACTTTCTCCAGGGAGCCTGATCAATCCTCTCCAAACATTTACTCTTTTTGATTAAGGGGTATAATATGTATGCCATTATATAAAAAATGTTATCTAGACTTTAAAAAAAAATGGATAGAGGATATGAACAGAGACTTCTCCAAAGAAGAAATTCAGATGGCCAACACGCATGTGCAAAGATGCTCCACATTGCTAATTATCAGGGAAATCCAAATTAAAACCACAATGAGATATCACCTCATACCAGTTAGGATGACTAGCATTGAAAATACTAAGAACAACAGATTCTGGCAAGGATGCAAAGAAAGGAGAACCCTCCTATACTGCTGGTGGCAATGTAAACTAGTTTAACCAAAAAACTAAAAATAGAAATATCATGTGACCTAGGAATTCACTCCTAGGACTTTACCCAAAGAATACAAGTTCTAACTTGAAAAGACATATGCACCCCTATGTTTATTGGAGCACTATTTACATTAGCCAAGATATGGAAGCAACCTGAGTGTCCATCAGTGGATGAATGGATAAAGAGGTGGTGGTACATATACACAATGGAATATTATTCAGCCATAAGAAAAAAGAAGTCCTACCATTTGCAACAACATTGATAGAGCTAGACAGTATTATGCTTAATGAAAAAAATCAGGTAGAGAAAGTCAAATAAATACCAAATGATTTCCCTCATTTGTGGAGTATAACATCAAATCAAAACTGAAGGAACAAAACAGCAACAGACTCACAAACTCCAAGAAGGGCTAGCGGTTAGCAAAGGGGAGGAGTAGGGAAGAGCGAGTGGGGAGGGAGGGAGTAAGGGATTGAGGGTATTATGGTGTTGGGGGGATCATGGGGAAGACAGTGTAGCACAGAGAAGACACATAGTGACTCTGTGGCATCTTGTTACACTGATGGACAGTGACTACAATGGGGTATGTGGGGGGAGTTGATAATAGTGAATGTAGTAACCACATTGTTTTTCATGTGAAACCGTTATAAGAGTGCATATCAATGATATCTTAGTAAAAAAAATTAAAAATAAAATAATGCAAAATACATTTGACCATTGTACAGCACAGGGGTTAGAGGCACCCACAGCCCCTGACCTCTATTCAGTCAAAAATCCATGTATAACCTTTGACTCTCCAAAAATTAACTACTAATAGCCTCTGTTGAATGTAAGCTTCAGTAATAACATGTAGCCAATTAATACATGTTTACTATATTATATGAATTATATATTATACTCTTAAACTAGAGAAAAGAAAATATTTTTTCAAATTGTTGCTGATCTTTATGAAAATTTCCAATATGTTTATTGAAATAAAATTTGTGTGTAACTGGACCTGCATCATTCAAACTAAACCCATGTTGTTCAAGGCTCAACTGTAATTGCGTAAGTCCTTAAAAGGCTCAGATCCTGGTTACTAAAAGAGTTTCCTTTATGTAAGTACTCAAGTAATACTTTCTAATCAGGTTTTTTAGTACCAGTAAAAGCTTCTTTTTATTGAAAATGGCAACTAAAAATCTTGATACATTTCTTCCTATCAAATAATTCAAGTAATATTGTGCTTTTCCTTTTCCTTTGACTGTTAGTTTGGTCTAAATTTAATACTTTGTTAGTTTTAATAGCATATTTTCTTCATCCTTTAATGTTACTCTATTTATTGTTTAATCACTTTAGAATATTAAATACAAATGCAGAGATATCATATAAAAACAATAGGTGAACATATTGTTTTAAGTATTTAATATTTGTCTGAAAAAATTTTGTTTTTTAGACCTGCAAAGAAAACATCTGATGAAAGGAATAAGGTATTGTAAGAAATAAATTACAAAAATATTATTCTGCAGTAAAAAAATATAAAAGTTATAGTAAAGAGTAGAAAATCTTCCTTTGTAGATATTGAATTTGAAAAAGTAATTTAGAATCACTAGTTATTTATTAAGGTATTTTTTTGGTGAAAATCAGTTTCTTAAGAAGTACTTATGGTTTTGCTTTTATAAAAAGATGAATATTTATTGTCACTGTACACTTAGTATATTTTATGAATACTTTGGGGACGTTTTGAAATAGTATTTTTTTATTTGTAGGTCAAAAAGCAAATTAATTCAATGGATGACCTTGATGACTTAACTCAGTCATCTGAAACAGCTTCAGAGGGCAAGTTGCCTTACTCTACTTATAAGAATTCCATGTTGCTAATTGAACAACTTGGCATGGAGTGTAAAGGTAGGACCATTGTATAAATATAAAGCTTTTTAATACACTATGGTAATATAAGCACACCTTATCTAGGACTACACCATAAAGCACTTAATGTGTATTTCAAATCTATCCATCTCAGAAATATGTTTATGTTAAAATAAAATGAGAGCTATTGTATACTCTCAGCCAATGAGCTATAATAATTTCCATGTGCTTTTCGGAATGTAAATGGCACACTAGTGTATTTGTTGACTGTGTTTTTCTTCTGTGTTTTCACCCAAGGTCAGGTTACCATAATTTTCCAACCAGAATATTGAAATGGCCTCAGAACTGTTTTCCTTGCCTTTCCACCTCCTAGAACCTTGGTCTACACTGTAACCATAATTATTAGATATTTTTGAAAATTCAGATCTAAATAGACATTCACTGCTTTAAATTTCCATTTATGTACTACTGTGGCAGCATTCCACAAATTTTAATATGTTTTCATTTTCATTCCATTAAAAATAGTTTCTAATTTCTCTTTTCATTACCCATTTGACCCAAGGGTTAATTAGATGTATATTTAGTTTACAAATATTTGAGTATTTTCCAGAGGTATTTTTGTTACTGATTTCTAGATTGATTTCTTTGTCATCAGGCATCCTACGTTGTATGACTTAAATCCTTTTGAGTTCTTTCAGTAAGATTTGTTTTTTGACCCAGAATATAATCTGTTTTGTTACGTGTTCCATGGGTGCCTGATGAGAATGGTGGTATTCAAATCTACCCTATCCTTGCTGACTTTATGCCTAGTGAAATCTCAGACTATAATTGTGAATTTGTCTATTTCTCTTTGCATTTCTAGTAATTTTTACTTCATGTATTTTGAAACTGTTATTAGCTACATAAACATTTAGGGTTAGTATGCTTCTTATTCATGTACCCTTTCAGCATTATGAAATGACCTTGTTTATTGTTGGTAGTATTTTTTTCTCCAATCTGTTTTGTCTGGTATTAATATAACCAATTCAACTCAACCTTTTGTCACCTCTTAGTGTGGCATATCATATTTCTATCCTTTTAACAAATCTGTGTTTTTAAATATAAAGTGCATTACTTATAGGTGGCATATAATTTAGATCTTGCTTTTTGATCCAATCTGAAAGTTTGCCATTTAGTTGAGCTTTTTAGACCATTTTCACTTAATATAACAACTGTATCACTGATATAATTGATTTGAATCTGTCATCATGTGGTTTGAGTTCTGTTTATCCCATATGCTCTTTGTTCCCCATTTCCTCTTTCTATGCCTTCTTTTAGATTAAATGAGTACCTATATGATACAGTTTTATTTCTGTTTCTGGCTTATTAGCTATAACTCTTCTGTTTTGATATTTTGGTGGTTGCTTTGAGGTTAATAGTACATGACTTTAAGTATTACAGTCCACCTTCAAGTAACATTATACCACATCATATACAAGAAAATCAGGGTAGGGAGTAGGTGAAGGTGAAAGGGATAAAGAAGTACAAACTTCAAATTACAAAATAAATTAGTCACAGTAATGGAAGGTAACAGGGAATATAGCCAATGATATTGTAATATCTTGGTATTGTGACAGATGGTACCTACACCTATTGTGGTGAGAAATTAGTAATGTGTATTATTGTCTAGTCACTATGTTGTACATCTGAAACCAAAATAAAATGATGTATCACCTATATTCAACTTAAAAAAAAGATAATAGGAGGCAGAGCCAGGATGGTGGCGTGAGTAGGGCAGTGGAAATCTCCTCTCAAAACCATATAGGTTTTTGAACACACAACAAATACAACTATTCTTAAAAGAGAGACTAGAAGATTCAGGACAACAGCCAGGCTACATTGACATCTGTGAGAACACAGCACCTCACAAAGGGGGAAAGATACAAGCCAAGGCCCGGCGAGACCCAGGCACTCCCCGACCCCAGCTTCCAGGCGGAAGGAGAGGAGTTGGAGTGGGGAGGAAGAGGGAGCCCAAGACTGCTGAATACCCAGCCCTAGTCATCCTCATCAGGAGCGTAGACACACACTGTGTGGTGTGCTGGATACTAGGGAAATGGAACAGTAAAACCTGCAAGCGGGTTCCCACAGCTGGCACCCCTGGAACAAAAGAAAAGCAAGTGCTTTTTGAAAGTCTTAAAGGGACAGGGCCCTCACAGCTGGATGGAAGCGTCCAGGCACACTCAACCCAGCAGCTGGGAATCCCGGGGAACTCCAGGCGCCATAACCCCCTGGGCGGCAGTGCAACTCTGAGACCCCTCACAGTGATAAACAGCCTCCCACCCATTTCAACTCCAGCGCAGCCCCGCTATAGCAGAGCAGCAGCCTAAGATGGGCCACGCCCACAGCAGCCATGCAGAGCTTCCTCCACAGCGGCATGGGCAAGAATCAGAGATCCTGTCTGCATGCAGCTGCCCAGCACAAGATGCTAGGGGTCACCATTCTCCCAGGAGAGGAAGGCAAGAAGCAAGCAGGAAGGAACTTTGTTCTTCCAGCTGACAGATGTGCCAACTGCCCAAGACCACCTCTATCTCCATGAAAAGGCAGAAGAATTTGATCCAGACCAGAATCACACAGACATCCTCCCCTGAGAGGGAACCTGGGGAGATAGACTTAACCAATCTTCATGAAAAATAATTCAAAATAAAGGTCATAACCATGCTGATGGACTAGCAGAGAAATATGCAAGAGCTAAGGAGGGAGAATATAGAAATAAAACAATCTCTGGAATGACTTAAAAGCAGAATGGACAAGGTGCAAGAGGCCGTTAATGGAATAGAAATCAGAGAACAGAAACAGAGAAGCTGATGCAGACAGAGATAAAAGGATCTCAAGGAATGAAACAATATTAAGAGAACTGTGTGACCAATACAAACAGAACAATGTCCACATTATAGGGGTACCAGAAGAAGAAGAAGAAGAGAGAGAGAGACAAAGGGATAGAAAGTGTATTTGAAAAATTTTTGCTGAAAACTTCCCTAAACTTGGGGAGGAAATCGTCGCTTAAACCATGGAAGCACACAGACCCCCCAACAGAAGGAACCCAAGGAGGACAACACCAAGACACATAATAATTAAAAAGGCAAAGTTAAGGACAAGGTCAGAGTATTAAAGGCAGCCAGAGAGAGAAAAAAGATCACCTACAAAGGAAAACCCATCAGGCAATCATCAGACTTCTCAACAGAAACCTTACAGGACAGAAGAAAATGGCATGATATATTTAATGCAATGAAACAGAAGGGCCTTGAACCAAGAATACTGTATCCAGCACGATTATCGTTTCAATATGAAGGAGGAATTAAACAATTCCCAGACAAGCAAAAGTTGAGGGAATTTGCCTCCCACAAACCACTTCTACAGGGTATTTTAGAGGGACTCATCTAGATGGGAGCACTCCTAAGGCAAAATAGATGTCACCAGAAAAATTAAAATCACAGCAAAGAAAGCAGACCAACCAAATACTATCTATGAAATCAACTGCCCACAAAAGCAGTCAAAGGAAACACAAAAGAGCCCAAAATAAAACACTTAACATATAAAGAATGGAGAAGGAGGAATAAGAAGGGAGAGAAATAAAGAATCATCAGACTGTGTTTACAATAGCTCAGTAAGCGAGTTAAGTTAGACAGTAAGATAGCAAAGAAGTTAACCTTGAACCTTTGGTAACCACGAACCTAAAGCCTGCAATGACAATAAGTACATATCTTTCAATAATCACCCTAAATGTAAATGGACTGAATGCGCCAATCAAAAGACACAGAGTAATAGAATGGATAAAAAAGCAAGACCCTTCTATATGCTGCCTAAAAGAGACTCACCTCAAACCCAAAGACATGCACAGACTAAAAGTCAAGGGATGGAAAAAGATATTTCATGCAAACAACAAGGAGAAAAAAGCAGGTGTTGCAATACTAGTATCAGATAAAATAGACTTCCAAACAAAGAAAGTCACAAGAGATAAAGAAGGACATTACATAATGATAAAAGGGTCAGTCCATCAAGAGGATATAACCATTATAAATATATATGCACCCAATAGAGGAACACCAACATACTTGAAGCAAATACTAGCAGAACTAAAGGAGAAAATAGAATGCAATGCATTTATTTTAGGAGACTTCAACACACCACTCACTCCAAAGGACAGATCCACCAGACAGAAAATAAGTAAGGACGCAGAGGCACTGAACAACACACTAGAACAGATGGACCTAATAGACATCTACAGAACTCTACACCCTAAAGCAAGAGGATACACATTCTTCTCAAGTGCACATGGAACATTCTCCAAATAGACCACATACTAGGCCACAAAAAGAGCCTCAGTAAATTCAAAAAGGTTGAAATTCTACCAACCAACTTCTCATTCCCAAAGGTATAAAACTAGAAATAAATTGTACAAAGAAAGGCAAAAGGCTCACAAACACATGGAGGCTTAACAACATGCTCCTAAATAATCAATGGATCCACAACCAAATCAAAATAGAGATCAAGCAATATATGGAAACAAATGACAATAACAACACCACACCCCAACTTCTGCAGGACACAGCGAAAGCAGTTTTTTTTTAAATTTTGATATCATTGATCTACAGTTACATGAGGAACATTGTTTACTAGGCTCCTCCCTTCACCAAGACCCCCCACAAACCCCATTACAGTCACTGTCCATCTGTGTAATAAGATGCACAATCAATAATTGTCTTCTCTGTGTTGCAGATCTCTCCCTGTGCCTCCCCCAACATTATGCATGGTAATCGTAATGCCCCATTTCTTTTTCCCTGCACTTATACCTCCCTTCCCACCCATCCTCCCCAGTCCCTTTCCCTTTGGTAACTGTTAGTCCATTCTTGGGTTCTGTGAGTCTGCTGATGTTTTATTCTTTCAGTTTTTCCTTTGTTCTTATACTTCACAGATGAGTGAAATCATTTGATACTTGTTTTTCTCCACCTGGCTTATTTCACTGAGCATAATACCCTCTAGCTCCATCCGTGTTGTTGCAAATGGTAGGATTTGTTTTCTTCTTATGGCTGAAATATATTCCATTGTGTAAATGTACCACATCTTTTTTATCCATTCATCTACTGATGGACACTTAGGTTGCTTCCATTTCTTGGCTATTGTAAATAGTGCTGTGATAAACATAAGGGTGCATCTGTCCTTTTCACTGGGCTGTTGTATTCCTAGGGTAAAGTCCTAGAAGGGGGATTCCTGGGTCAAATGGTATTTCTATTTTGAGCTTTTTGAAGAACCTCCATACTGATTTCCACAGTGGTTGAACTAATTTACATTCCCACAAACAGTGTAGGAGGGTTCCTCTTTCTCTACAACTTTGCCAACATTTGTTGTTGTTTGTGTTTCAGATCGTACCGATCCTTACTGGTGTGACGTGATATCTCATTGTGGTTTTAATTTGCATTTCTCTGATGACTAGTGATGTGGAGCATCTTTTCACTGTCTGTTGGCCATCTGAATTTCTTCTTTGGAGAACTCTCTGTTCAGCTTCTCTGCCCCTTTTTTAATTGGATAATTTGCTTTTTGTTTGCTGACGTGCATGAGCTCTTTATATATTTTGGATATCAACCCTTTATCAGATCTGTGATTTATGAATATAGTCTCCCATACTGTATGTAGGATGCCTTTTTGTTCAACTGATGGTGTCCTTTGCTGTGCAGAAGTTTTTCAGCTTGATATAGTCCCACTTGTTCATTTTTGCTTTTGTTTCCCTTGCCCAGGGAGATAGGTTCATGAAGAAGTCACTCATGTTTATGTCCAAGAGATTTTTGCCTATGTTTTTTTCTAAGAGTTTTATGGTTTCATGACTTACATTCAGGTCTTTGATCCATTTCGAATTTACTTTTGCGTATGGGGTTAGACAGTGATCCAGTTTCATTCTCTTACATGTAGGTGTCCAGTTTTGCCAGCACCAACTGTTGAAGAGGCTGTCTTTTCCCCATTGTATGTCCATGGCTCCTTTATCGTATATTAATTGACCATATATGTTTGGGTTAATGTCTGGAGTCTCTCTTCTGTTCCACTGGTCTGTGGCTTGGGTCTTTTGCCAGTATGAAATTGTCTTGATTACTGTGGCTTTGTAGTAGAGCTTGAAGTTAGGGAGGGAGATACCCCCCACTTTACTCTTCCTTCTCAGGTTTACTTTGGCTATTCAGGGTCTTTGGTGTTTCCACATGAATTTTTGAACTATTTGTTCCCCTTTGTTGAAGAATGCTGTTGTTAATTTGATAGGGATTGCATCAAATCTGTATATTGCTTTGGGTAGGATGGCCATTTTGACAATATTAATAAGAGCATGGGATGAGTTTCCATTTGTTAGTGTTCTCTTTAATTTATCTTAAGAGTTTTCAGGATATAGGTCTTCCACTTTCTTGGTTAGGTTTATTCCTAGGTGTTTTATTCTTTTTGATGCAATTGTGAATGGAATTGTGTTCCTGATTTCTCTTTTTATTAGTTCATTGTTAGTGTATAGGAAATCCACAGATTTCTGTGTATTAATTTTGTATCCTTCAACTTTGCTGAATTCCTTTATTAGTTCTAGTAGTTTTAGAATGGAATCTTTAGGGTTTTTTATATACAATATCATGTCATCTGCAAATAGTGACAGTTTTGCTTCTTCTTTACCAGTCTGGATTCCCTATATTTCTTTGTTTTGTCTAATTCCCGTTGCTAGGACCTCCAGCACTATGTTGAATAACAGTGGGGAGAATGGGTATGTGGGGGGAACTTGGTGAAGGGGGCAGTCTTGTAAACATAATGTTCCTAATGTAATTGTAGATTAAATATATGAAACTTAAAAAATAATAAATAAGAAAAGGTAACAGCTTACTTCCATTTCTTGTCTCCTTGTCAGATCCTTTCTAGATCTGTGGGGTTATAATTTTCCTTAAATTTATAAAGTTTTTGGCCATTTCTTCTTCAAATATTTTTCTGTCCCTTTACCCCACCACTTTGATTAAGTATATATTAGCCACTTGAGTATTTTCACAGCTTACTGATGCCAAACTTATGAATGTTTCATTTTGTGATGTCTAATAAGTGTTTATTCCCATCCAGTGCATTCTTCACCGGTGACATAATTTGCATCTCTATAAATGCTGTTTGATTTTTTAAAAATAGCTTCTATGCCTCTACTTGTCTTTTTAGCTTTGGTTTTGCCTACAGTTAAATTACTTGGGAAGAGTTTTATCTTTTCGTGTCTTGTGTTGTGATATGTTAGGTGAATATGGAGTAGTGCTCAACCCAGGGCTAATTATTCCCTACTACTGAAGTAAGACCTTTCTGACTACTGTAGTCCTTGTCCTGTGAATTGTAAGTTTTCCCAGCCTGGCTGGGGGAACAGACACCACTCCTGGTGCTGCTGGGTTCTCACTGGGAGCTCTGTCTGCCTTGGTGTATAGCCTCATCACAGCTCAGGTGGTAATTGGACTCTGTCTCAGTTCCTTCTCTCTGTCATGGTCTCAGAATTCTCTAGAGGCAGGGAACTGAGGCATTCCTTAGACTGACTCCATTTGTTTTCAGGCATCATTGTCCTTCATGGCCTAAAGTCCTTTGTCTTGAAAATCATTTTTAAATGTATTTTTTCTGTTTTGCTTTTGCTTGTTTCAGGCAGGAGGACGAATCAGTACCTGTTACTCTCTTCACCAGAAGCAGCTTGCAATATAATGATGGCCCAGGCCACAGACTGTCTAGAATGCTCCTTCTCCTCTGCTTGTAGCCATCTTGTTCTCAGGGAAGTCTTCTCTGGGCCGAGTTTTGGTCAAGTTCTGTTAATGTGATCACAGAACTCTGTTTTCCTAGAGTATCTATTAGAATTTATAATTACTTCATTTATAATTATTTATAAATTATAATTAATTTTTAATTATTTTCTCCTCCACTAGACTTTAAGCTACACAGTAGCCAGAGGTCTTGTCTGTTTTGTCTACAGAACTTAATATAATTTCTTCCACATTATAGGTACTCAGTATATATTCAGTGTCTGAATGAGTGAATGTGAAAAGGGACAGTTCTTTGTACACAAAAGGTAATCATATATTTCATTTCTGTTTTTGTTTTCTCCCTGGTGCAGATTCTGTGAGCTTACTGAAAATCCAGGATGCAGTTCTTTCATATGAAAGATTAATAGAACTTAAAAAAGGTCACTGTGAACTACTTAAAGGAAAAGTAAAAAATATGGAACATAAGGTTAGTGGACTACAAAAGGAGCTATCAGAAACAAAAGAGATGGCATCACAGTTAGAGCATCAAAAAGTGGAATGGGAACAAGAACTCTGCAGTTTGAGGTATAACATCTTGGTTTTAAAGAAATTTCTGAACTATTTACTTTTATACTATGGATATGTAGAAGTTTCATAATTACTAACTTTGTGGGATTTTACTGGGAAAAAACTTGTTTAGTATTGTGGAATATGAAATACTTGTAAACACTGTAGCAAGTTCTTAATGGTGACTACTTCTACTAATAATTTAGTGTATAGCTCAGTCATTAATTTGAATGGCCACATAGAGGCCTACCTCATTATTTATTTTAAAAAATTATTGTTGTTTTTCCTTTTATTAAATAATTAATGTTGCAGCAAATATTTTTCATATAAATCTGCTTCCACATTTCTGGTTATTTACTTGGAATAAATTCATCAAGTATAAAAACTTTAAAGTGATATTATTTAAAGTATAAATAAAATCTTGTATAAAAAACAGTAATGACAAAATTGTGTGTGTATATTTGATCTATACTTTTAACTTGTTCTCAAGAAAGTTATATTAAATTTACACTCCCACCAACAGAGTATGAAGTGGACGTTTTTCTCAAGACTGAAAAACGTGTTAGAAATCTATATGCATTTTTACTGTTAACATATGCATGGAGTAAAAAATAAAATGGAAAGTGATTACTTATTAGTTATTTAACATCTCATACATAGATAAAATTACTTCAAAGGTATGTGCTGAAAGCTTATGTTACTCTTTATTGTTTACTTAATTTGGAACCTATGTTCCTCCAAAAGATTTTAAAATAATGTAGAAAATAGATAATACTGAACAAGATAAGTTGAAAAGTGCTGTAAAAGAAGAAACATAAAACTTACAGGGCAGCAGATAGTAGACTCAGCTAGGGAGTCTTGGGTTGCAATAATCTGCAGATACATGTGGTGTAAAAGACATCTGCAGATGCTGTCTTACACTGCAAATCATTTTTAAGGGGACCTATAATATTTTGTGAAGTTAAAAGTTTATTTCTAATGAATTTATAAATGTATTTACAAACAACTTCTTTTTTGAATTAGTAACTAAATGATCCATCCTACTGGAGGAGTAATTATGACTATATAGGGAAAAAAAGGGTCACTTTCAACTCAAACTTTACTGAATAAGTTCAAAATTCTTTTCCTTTACTGGAGTTTCTACTGACTAAAACTTACTAAGTAGAAGAATGATTTTCATTGCTACTTCTCAAGTATATGTATTTTTGGAAGAGATTAAAGTAAGAAATTAAATAATGTGAGACACAGAAAAGGAAAAAAATACAAGGATGTGGGAATTTGGGGATTATAAACCAGTGTGTGTAGAACTAGATCAGAAAAACAGCCTATTTCTAACAGAACAAATTTTAAGATAAATATATTTAACTGTAGATTTACCTTAAAACAAGAAAAAGAAAAGAGAAGAAATGCTGATATGTTGTATGAAAAAACTAGAATGCATTTAAGAAGAAAAGAGGAGCAACACAGTAAAGAAGTTGAAAAGAAACAGCAATTGGAATTTGCTCTTCGAACACGAGACATGGAATTGAGGACTGTAAGAATTAATCTGAATCAGGTACATTCATCTTAGGGAAAATTTTCTTATTTCTAACATTGTTTCATCAATATTATTTATAATATTCCTTTGATTTAATATATATTATTTGAGGGTAAGCTAAAAAGATTATCTCATCCTAATGTGAATGATGACATTTATAGCTAAAATTATTCATTTATTGCAATTCTTGGAATTTAATAGATGCTCTGTATGTTTTCTGGATGAAGGAAGGGTAGGTAAATTGAGCTTAATCATTATGTTTAAGCATAAATCGTTATGCTTAAACAAATGTTAAATATAAATTTAACATAAATGTTGACATAAACATAAATGTTAAAACATTTTGCTTAAACATAAATGTTTATTTTGGCTTTTTTATGTTAAAGTACATGTTAAATTACCTTGTTTTGAATAGAAATTTTATTTCACAGTATTTTATCTGCCTATATTTTTGTTCTATTTATGACAAATTTTGCTGTCATTTAAATGAAAATTTGAGTTATTCATATGGGATAAAAATTGTTGTGCTTAAAGGGCCAATTTTTTAACAGTTTTTTTAAGGTTCTGCTCTTAAGCTTTTGACTTTGTTTTAAGTGATAGAGACCAAAAACCCAATGAAGTGTGTTTTTAGGTTACAGAAGAGCGAAATGACATTCAGAGGCAACTTTCTCAAGAACAGAATGCCAGAATATTGCAAGACAGGATTCTGACCAATCACCTTTGCAAACAAAAGGGGACAGAAATGGCACATACAAAAATGAATTCTGAGGTATTTTTCTTTAGTCATTTTCAAATGTGTGTTTATGTATTTGTATGTGTATATATTTAAAATATCAACAGTATATATGTCATGGAAAGTATGGAGGATTTTTAAAGCCTATATATGTGTATATACATTTGGTGGTGGTGGTGGTGGTGGTGGTGGTTGAAGGTTACATTTTTGGTTGAGTGGATAAAATCATATCTTAAATCCATTTGTCTGTAACCATCAAGTTGTGATATTCATAACAGTCTTATTCAGAGGAGAGGCTTTTACTATTTTCCATAGGAATTATGAACTTCCATAATCCCAAAACTATTGCTACTTAAAACATATTTTCCAGTTTTGGGAAGGGCTTTCACCTCTTTGATAGATTAACAGGGAAGATATTCATCACTTCCACTGTTGGTGTGGAAGATAAGTACAGCCACTTCAAAGACCATAGTTTGGATGTCACTCTCCTCTGAAAAAAATAGTCATACAAGGAGCTTTTGAAAACAATGATATGCCATTATACATACTTAGTGATAAGGTATTGATAAGTATTTTAGTCCTAGGAAAATAGTTCAGTGTATTTTCCCCTATTAAACACTTACTTTTATGTGAAATATCAAGCAGAAGCAAATAATCCCATGGTTTTTTAAGAAGAACTCTATAAATTTTACCTTATTTACCATTAGTATTTTGAAATACAAGGCTTCGTCTTTCTTTATACATTTAAACCAGAAAAGTAATTGTGGTTGGGTGCTCCTGTGGTAGAGTCAGAGACCTGGGGAAAATTCTGCAGCTTGCTCACACTTTTAACCTTTCGATTCCAGAAGAACTATGATGACTAACTTGAGTTCACTGTATGTAAAAGTGTTTAGTACAATGTCAAGATTTATCAGATATCAGTAGATATGATTCTTATAATTATTAGAAATTCTAAATGTTAGAAAAGCAGATTAGATTTAGACTAGATGTCATTAGAAAAGATTCTAAAATGTTAGAAAAGAAAAAAATCTATGGAATATTTTTAGGAAAAAGAATTGTAGGAAACAATCTGTATGAATATATGCTGAGCTAAGGCTTTTACTATGGGGTAGCCGAATAGATTTCAGACTGGAAACACATTTGGTGGTGGTGGTGGTGGTGGTGGTGGTTGAAGGTTACATTTTTGGTTGAGTGGATAAAATCATATCTTAAATCCATTTGTCTGTAACCATCAAGTTGTGATATTCATAACAGTCTTATTCAGAGGAGAGGCTTTTACTATTTTCCATAGGAATTATGAACTTCCATAATCCCAAAACTATTGCTACTTAAAACATATTTTCCAGTTTTGGGAAGGGCTTTCACCTCTTTGATAGATTAACAGGGAAGATATTCATCACTTCCACTGTTGGTGTGGAAGATAAGTACAGCCACTTCAAAGACCATAGTTTGGATGTCACTCTCCTCTGAAAAAAATAGTCATACAAGGAGCTTTTGAAAACAATGATATGCCATTATACATACTTAGTGATAAGGTATTGATAAGTATTTTAGTCCTAGGAAAATAGTTCAGTGTATTTTCCCCTATTAAACACTTACTTTTATGTGAAATATCAAGCAGAAGCAAATAATCCCATGGTTTTTTAAGAAGAACTCTATAAATTTTACCTTATTTACCATTAGTATTTTGAAATACAAGGCTTCGTCTTTCTTTATACATTTAAACCAGAAAAGTAATTGTGGTTGGGTGCTCCTGTGGTAGAGTCAGAGACCTGGGGAAAATTCTGCAGCTTGCTCACACTTTTAACCTTTCGATTCCAGAAGAACTATGATGACTAACTTGAGTTCACTGTATGTAAAAGTGTTTAGTACAATGTCAAGATTTATCAGATATCAGTAGATATGATTCTTATAATTATTAGAAATTCTAAATGTTAGAAAAGCAGATTAGATTTAGACTAGATGTCATTAGAAAAGATTCTAAAATGTTAGAAAAGAAAAAAATCTATGGAATATTTTTAGGAAAAAGAATTGTAGGAAACAATCTGTATGAATATATGCTGAGCTAAGGCTTTTACTATGGGGTAGCCGAATAGATTTCAGACTGGAAACTCAATTTTTAAGTATAGTTTTAAATATAGATTTATTATTCTTTTATGCCTTTTGAGATGTAATTCAGGGAAAGGCCTTTCTTATTCTGAGGTTTTTAAAAATTCTCTCTTGGTTTCTTTTTTTACTTTCATGGGCTCATTGTCTTCAGTTCATTTTTTGAAATTTTGGAAATTCATGTGTATAGTTTGAGGTTAGGATCCAACTTAATTTTTCCCAGTTAGATATCCATTTATCACAGCCTTTTCATTGTATAAACATTCAGGTTGTCCCCTATTTTCAGAGGAAATCATGATAAGTCTTTTAATTGAGTGCTAGCTGAAAGTCTCCTTTTACTTAGATTTCTGATAGTCATGAACATCTATTGCTTAAAATCTACATGTTGCAGGATAAAATTGCCATGCTAAGACTGGAAATAGACACAATAAAAAATCAGAACCAGGAAAAGGAAAAGAAATATCTTGAGGACACTGAAATTATAAAAGAAAAAGATGATCTTCAAAAGACAATAAAAGTGAATGAGGAAACACTAACAAAAGCCATACTCCAATACAGTGGACAGCTTAATGTCCTGACAGCTGAGAATACAATGCTAAACTCTAAGCTGGAGAACGAAAAACAAAACAAAGAAAGATTGGAGACAGAAGTTGAATCATACCATTCTAGACTGGCTGCTGCTATACAGGATTATGATCAAAGTCAGGCATCAAAAAGAGATCTAGAACTCGCTTTTCAGAGAGCAAAAGATGAGTGGTTTCGTCTACAGGACAAAATCAATTTTGATGTGTCTAACCTAAAAGATAACAATGAGACTCTTTCTCAGCAGCTTTCTAAAGCTGAAAGTAAATTCAATAGCCTCGAAATTGAGCTCCATCACATGAGAGATGCTCTCAGAGAAAAGACTTTGGTTTTAGAACTTGTGCAAAGAGACCTAAGCCACATACAGTGTCGAAATAAGGAAATTGAACAAATGTATCAGAATGAGCAAGGTAAAGTGAGTAAGTACATTGGAAAGCAGGAATCCTTAGAGGAGAGATTATCTCAACTACAAAGTGAAAATACATTGCTCCGACAGCAGTTGGATGATGCTCAGAACAAAGCTGACAATAAAGAAAAGACAGTAATTAATATCCAAGACCAGTTTCAGGAAATTGTAAAAAAACTTCAAGCTGAAAGTGAAAAACAAGGTCTTATGCTGAAAGAAAGAAATGAAGAATTAATCAATTATTGTAATAATTTAAAAGAAAGAATACATCAGTATGAAAATGAGAAAGCAGAAAGAGAAGTAAGTATCCAGGAAAATAAATGAACTTCCTAAAAGAAAATTCAAAGTAATATTTGATTATGGCTAAATGTTGAAACTAGTTGAATATAAGAAATATGTACTGTATAAGTATGTAGACTGTAAATCAGCTTAAAAGCATGCTTTGTATCCAGCCAAAAAATTAGACCTGGAGGTGCTTTACTTTGAAAAAAGGTATTGTGTTGACTATGAAATTTTAAGAAGTTAAGTTATAAATTGTTATTGGATTGAGACTGATTTAAACAATTTAGTCTTATACTGCTAAAATAATTTTAATCTTCATGTCAATACATTTTAATACCATGATGGAGCAGATAAATAGAAATGCTCATACCGAAAATGAACCTTAAGATTCAATGAAGTGGATCATCTTGGCAGTCAATTCCAGATTTCCCAATGAAATGAAGTGCAGATGCTGTATCTCATAGTCCTTTTCCTTCAGTGGCTTTTTATACATTTTTAGTTGATATAATTTTATTCTTATTCATGTCAGTTTGAATTAAATTTGGAAATATTTTAGTCCCAAGCATGTATTCTTATAACCTCTAACTATTTAACAGCAGCTACTTTTCAATACATCATAATTTGGGACAAATGTGAGTTTTAGCAAAACCATATTTGATTTAATCTTCCCACTGCTATTTATTACTCTGAACATTTTTATAAATAATTTGCTTATAATTCTCATTTCAAGGAGAAATGTAGTTAAGAAGAGGTTATAAGACATAAGCTCACACACAGCAAACTTACTGGATCTAAGTGTGTCCAATACTATAACTGTTTGTGATTGGAGCTATTTTTCAGACTAATGAGGGGTAGCAGGATTCTTGTGTAGCAGGAATGGAGTAAGTTGTAAGAGCCAAGGTCAGGGAGGCAGGTAGGGGCCCAATTACCTAGGGCCTGAGGCCCATTGGCATGACTTGACTTTTATTCTGACATGGGAGTCTATTGGAAGGACTCAGGCAGAGGATTGAATATGTGAGGAACTCTGAAGTCTATTTAGGCCACTAATAAAAATGAGGAAAAATGTTTCACAGTGTAGAATTTACCACCCCTAGTCCTACTTACATACCATTTCCTTTTGAGACTTCACGAGGCTATAAAGCTCTGTAAATTCTGAGGGGATGTGGATAGTGGGACTGAGTTCATTGTGTGAGTACACAGTAGTGATGAGGCAGGAGGATCACATCTTCTTTGTCCTTAACTAAATTCGGTAAACAGGAATGTGTGAACATGAGGAAAAGGTGAATTGGTGAATGTGGTGATATTTTTCAAAATACATATGTTAGAGTTATATATTAACATAATAATAAGGTGATTTATAAAATCAGTTTGATCAGAACAGAAATATGTTATTAGGTAGTTATGAGACAACTTCAACAAGAACTGGCTGATACCCTAAAAAAACAATCTATGTCAGAGGCTTCTCTGGAGGTTACATCACGTTACCGAATTAATTTAGAAGATGAAACACAGGATTTAAAGAAGAAATTGAGGCAAATCAGAACTCAAGTATGTATGAAATTTAATGTGTCAACAGTTTATCTATAAGCTGACTAAATAATACAGTGTTTTAGAATACTAGTTTCTGTGGACAGCATTCCTTTATATTTTCATTATAATTAATTTAGAACAATTTTATTATCTTTATAATATACATATTTCTTAAACTCTGACTTTCATTCTGCCATTTGTATTGTACATTTTTTCTTAGAACATTTACCCTTAGGAAAGCTGAGAATTATGCATCATTCTCACAGAAATTGAGACTTTTTTTCTTAGTACTAAACATTGTTTTTTATAAATCTCTCTTTTAGCATGATAAGGTAAATCAGATAAAATTAGAGGGTAATTGTTTAATGGAATGTTTTAGAAAATTGTCTTTTTTCTGGTCTTCACTTTGGTGAATGGAAATAGGAGCTGTGTACATTTACTTTGTGGATTTCAGGATAATTTGTACAAAAGGTCCTTATATAAACCAATTGAAATTAGATACTTCCCTCATTTCCCTTTGAGATATACTGTAAAAACATGGAAATACTCAAATTATATATAGTATGTATCCAAAAATAGAGAATTAAGAAAATTTTCTAGATCCAACCATTGGACTTTTTTAAGCCTTTTTGAGATATTCATATACAATACAATTTACGCATTTAAAATGTCTAATTCAGTATCTCTGGTGTATTCACAGACTTATATGTGTATAACTGTCCCTGCAATCAAGAACATTTTCATCACCCCAAAAAGAAACCCCACATCCCTCAGCCATCACCCCCAGCTCCCACCTTCCCCAGCCCCAGGCAACACCAGTCTACTTTCTATTTCCAAGATTTGCCTATTCTGGATATTTCATGTAAGTGGATCCACAAGATGTGGTCCTTTGTGACTAGCTTCTTTTCAGTTAACATAATATGTTCAAGGTTCATCATGTTATAGCACATATTAGTACTTCATTTATTTTTATTATCAACAATTCTCCATGGGGTAGCTTACCCACTTATACATAAGTTGATGGACCTTTGGGTTGTGTCCACTTGTTGGCTATTAATAATGATGCTATAAGCATTCATTTACAAGTTACTGTGGGCATGTTTTTATTTCCGTGCCACTAGATTTTATCCTGAGTTAATTGGGCTGATGTCACCATCTCTTGGCCTTTGCTCATGTGTCCTTCCTGACCCTGTTGCTCTTGCCTAATCCTGCATCACTCAGACCTGCTCACACCTCCATTCTCCTGAAGCTGTCTCTAACTGTTCTCTCATTGGCCTTACCAGCATTTATCATCTAGTCTGTGCAGAACAATTTTAATTTAGCCCCTTATTTTATTTTATTTTTTCATGAGATAATCTTTTCTTTCCAAGTTTGTCTAAGGGGAAATAGTACTTGATATGCATGGTACCTATTCTTGTATAAATTAAAATATTTCAGCTGTTTTTTATTCTATAACTTACCAATAATTTCTCTTTTGGAACACTGATATAATAAGGCTTTTATTCTAAGTGTATTTTAAGCAATAAAATATAAAATTGAAAGCAGTTAACCTAATAGAGGAGAATTGTTGAATGCTCTCTTTCCCCCCTCCCACTATGGAATAAAGTCTAAATTTGCCTGCCTTCCTTAAGCAGCCAGAATGGGGACTTACAGATGTATAGCACTTAACCAGCTGTAAAGCTCTGGAGATAGCTTTTATGATCTGCCATGCTATCTAACCTTATCACGGTATTTGCTAAATCAGTGAACCTAAACAGTTGCTGGGAATGAAGTCGTTTGGGAACTTTGAGGGCCCATTATTCCCATGTCTGTGGCTTTACCCTGTTTCTGATGCTCGTGTAAGTTAGGTACTACTCAGTCCAAGAGGGCCTGTTTGCACTGTACTCTGTGATCATTGCACATGGAGTAGTTCAGGGAGGCAGTAAGTTATAAATTATAAACAGGAAAAAAAAAGTAGACACAACCCAAAGGTCCATCAACTTATGAATGAGTAAATGGTTAAACCACACCATCAAGTATTCTTTTGACAAAAATAAAAATAAATGAAGTACTGATATGTGATATAACATGATGAACCCTGAACACATTGAGTGAAAGAAGCTAGTCACAAAGGACCATATACTGTGGTTCCGCTTATATGAAGATATCCAGAGTAGACAAATCTTGGGAACAGAAATACTGGTGGTTGCCTGGGGCTGAGGAATATGGGAGCTGGGGGTGATGGCTGAGGGATGCAGGGCTTTTTTTTGGGTGACCTAATAGAGGAGAATTGTTGAATGCTCTCTTTCCCCCCTCCCACTATGGAATAAAGTCTAAATTTGCCTGCCTTCCTTAAGCAGCCAGAATGGGGACTTACAGATGTATAGCACTTAACCAGCTGTAAAGCTCTGGAGATAGCTTTTATGATCTGCCATGCTATCTAACCTTATCACGGTATTTGCTAAATCAGTGAACCTAAACAGTTGCTGGGAATGAAGTCGTTTGGGAACTTTGAGGGCCCATTATTCCCATGTCTGTGGCTTTACCCTGTTTCTGATGCTCGTGTAAGTTAGGTACTACTCAGTCCAAGAGGGCCTGTTTGCACTGTACTCTGTGATCATTGCACATGGAGTAGTTCAGGGAGGCAGTAAGTTATAAATTATAAACAGGAAAAAAAAAGTAGACACAACCCAAAGGTCCATCAACTTATGAATGAGTAAATGGTTAAACCACACCATCAAGTATTCTTTTGACAAAAATAAAAATAAATGAAGTACTGATATGTGATATAACATGATGAACCCTGAACACATTGAGTGAAAGAAGCTAGTCACAAAGGACCATATACTGTGGTTCCGCTTATATGAAGATATCCAGAGTAGACAAATCTTGGGAACAGAAATACTGGTGGTTGCCTGGGGCTGAGGAATATGGGAGCTGGGGGTGATGGCTGAGGGATGCAGGGCTTTTTTTTGGGTGATAAAAATGTTCTGCATGATTGATTGCACTTGATTGTACTTGGTTGGTGGAATTGGTGAACGTTGTGGGGCTATATCCTGAGCTAATAAGTAGTGGAGTTGGGATGTTCCCCACCCCGGGCGTTCTGGCTCCTATGTAGATACTGCCTCTTGAATGATTTCATGAAACATTTGGTTGTCACTGAAAGCAGAATGTTAACTTTAGAATCAGATTGAGTAGCTGTGGTTATTCACCTATGTGAATATTTAAAATTATAGGTGATGTGGTGCTTATAATAAAACAGAAATATTTGACCTAAGATAATTTCATCTCTTTACCCATTTGACCAGTGTACAAATCTGTGCATTTATCTGATGAAATATAATTTAAAAACATGAATACCTAGAGAAGAGATTGATAAACTTTTCTGTAAAGGGCCAGAGTGTAAATATTTTAGGCTTCATGGGCCTTAAGATCTCTGTTGTAACCACTCAGCTCTGCTGTTATGCATGAAAGTAGTTGTAAATAATGTAGAAGAGTGTGGCTGTGTGCCAGTAAAATTTAGTTTCAAAAGCAGGTGATGGCAGGTTTGTAGTGTATTATCAGTAAAGTTTATTATTTTCTTTATTTTAGTTGGAAGAAGCACAAGGTCAACATATAGAGGCTGTAAGATGTGCTCAGAAGACACAGGATCACTTGCAAAAGTACAGTTTAAAGCTGCACAGATAATAACTTGAGTATCTATAAAGTAGATAAGCAATGTAGTATGGGAATTGTTTCTCAGGATAATATGTATTGTTGGGCTGGATAAAAATTTCAGCTTTGAGCTATTTTGAAATGCGTTATTTTTGCACATTTATGGCACAATTGCCAAGTCATCTACTTGTCAAATTTTTAAGTGTTTATGTAATTGCACCTTCAGGTGTTTGTTTGGAAATTATGTGCTAGAATAATTATTTTTAAAATACACATTTTAGGCTTGAAATCGAAAATGACAACTTAAAAGTAACAATCAAAAAGCAAGTGGGCAAAATTGAACAGCTTCAGAAAAACCTTTTAAGTACAAGTTTGGTAAGTCAGTCTCTTAATTTCTGTCATACTGTGAGAAATACACTCACTGGTCCAAACTCAGTAAGTGGATACGGAGACAAAAAGAACAGCAGAATGAACAGCAGAATGAGGCCTTAATGGCGGTCTTGTAAGATCGGGTGTCTGGTAAGCAGGCACAGCTGGGGCAGTTGGCTGAAGTAATTCCCTAGCACGTGAGTCCCTTCCCTGGTTCCTCATTGGATGAGTACTACCGGTTTACGTTCTTTCCCGGATGTTGCCTAAGCAAGTTATATTCATATTAGGCTTTCCCTTACATTTGTCTTAATTTTATTGACTGATTTAAACCTTTTCTCTTTTCCCAAATAGGCACAGCCCATTCTTTATCAAATCCCCCACTGCACTGCCCCAGCCTGAGCAACTTCCTGGCTTGTATTTCACCACGTGGCCCTTTGTTAATATCTTACTGTTAAAATGTTTAAACTTCTGGTGGGAGTAAATCACATTTCAGTTTTATGTTTTTTCTAACAATACCAAAAAGGAATTTTTAAATTTTTCTAATAGTACCTAAGGATATTTTGGACAATATGAAAAATCTCATTGATAAAAATATTTTTTGTATTCATAGTGATGCTAATTGCTACTAGTAGTGCAATTCCTTTTTATAGTCATAAGTTAATGATTTTTGTAAGATCTTAATAAAAAATATTGTGATTGTCTACAGACAATATTTTATATATACCACATTTTGTTTATCCATTCATCTGTTGACAAATTTTGTTTTTTCCCACCTTTTGGCTATAATCAATAATGCTGCTATGAACATTTGCATACAGATATCTATTTGAGTTCTTGCTAATGTTTTCTCATGTTAAAAAATTCCCAGAAATTTGAGGAATGATTTGATCTGAAATTCTGAATTTCTCTTGCAAATCTAAATCTTTCAGTGAGACTTTGACAATGAATTACTTCCAATATTGTAATTCCTGCTCTTTGTCAAGAATGAATACTAGATTATTATGCAAACAATCCTCTGAAAGGAATGTATCATTTGTTGGAATTTAAAGAGAAGAGATGCCATTAAAAAGTAGAAATGGCTGGTCAGTCAGAGCTTCCCACAGTAACAGTGCTCGTAGCACTGCAAGTTCAGAAGCTGTTTTTTCTCATTTGCTTGAGTTAATCAGCCTTTCCAAGATTTAACAGTCTAACCTCAGAAGAGATAGATGTGTAATCCAGGATTGCAATTAATTGACCTATAGTGAAAAATTGACCTATAGTAACTATATGCCAAGCAGAGCAGGGACTCTCCTGCCATTCCCACTATCCTTTATAGGAGAGGCTACAGATCATAAAGAAGATTGCATTATGAACCCCAAGTTGGAGCATGAGGTAGATTTACCTACCATCTAATTTCAGTCACAATAACTAGATTAGGTTCATGCAAATTTCATTATACAGATAAACCTACTGGGGAACTAGAATATTCTGTTGACTGGTCCTTTGGTGGCTGAAGAAACATTGAAAATTATTATTATTTTTACTTGTGTAAATCAGTTACATTGTATTAGCACACTTTTCATACCTGTGATATGACAATTTGTTGATAAGGAGTCTTCTGTGAATGAAACTGGTCCCCTTCCAGTGTCATGCACAAATCTATTAAGGTATCAAAAATTCAAAAAATTTTAAGAATACCCAAACTGATTTGATAAAGAGTCTTCTGTGAATGAAACTGGTCCCCTTCCAGTGTCATGCAGAAATCTATTAAGGTATTAAAAATTCAAAAAATTTTAAGAACACCCAAAACTGATTAAGCTTATTTAAAAATAACAAAGGATTCATCCTTTTTTAGTTCATAAGCATGATTGAGTGTTCTTGCTTTCGCATGACTGTGTGCCTCCCTCAAACCTTGGTACAGTGTTCGCACATTACCCATCTGATTTGAAAAAAAAGGGAAAAAAATAATGAGGGATTTTTCTAGACTACTTATAGAAATGACTCAGGATTATTACATAGAATTACTAGCCACACTCATGAGAAATAATAGTTTTAAGAAAGAAGGGTGAGTTTCTAAATTTTTAAAAATAATTTTCTTAAAAATTTTTTTCATAGTATCAAGGTGAAAAGGAACAGTTAAAGAAATTGACAGAGTTAAAACAATCTCTAGAACATAGTTTGGATCAAGAAGTGAAGAAAAACAGTGAATTAGAAAAAGATATTTCTGGGTGAGATTTTAACATTTCAATTCATTTCAACCATTAATTGATTTAACTATAATTCTGCTTTACTAAAATCTAAATACAAATTCATTTTACATCCACATTTCTTAAATTAAACAGATTATCCTACTTAAAAATTTACTTTAGAAACTCAAAATCTGAAGCTTTTTTAGAATGCCAAAATATTACATTTATTCTTTAATGATTCCTAGAACAATAACAACAATGCCTTTTGCATAGCATGTCAGCTGAATTCATCGGTTACCTTGAATCTGTATTTCTGCAAGATATCTTTGCTCTCTTTGGTAATGTTTCCTTCTTTTAGTAGTTCTTCCTGTCAGCATTCAAATATTTTAATATCTAAAAACCTGTATCATTGTTTAACAACATCAAAATTATCTTACTGTGGCTTTTATTTTATTTTTTAGTTATGTTTCATTCATACAAATATATATGCATGATTTGAAGAACAAAATGAGTAATTGGTTTCTACCACTCAGATCAAAAGAATGGACTATTTTCCTATGTCTGTTAAGTCCCCACATGGCTTCATTTCTGTTTATTTGCTGAATTCTTAAATTTGTTCCCTGATTCTCATCAATATTTTCCTCTCATTTAAGTGTCTTTGTCCGCCTTGTTTTCCATCCCTTTCATGGTGTTTAGATTGCACTTGCCAAGATTTCTACACCTTTTTTTTCATATCGTTAATGTACAATTATTTGAACATTATGGTTACTAGACTCCCCCTATTATCAAGTCCCCCCCACATACCCCATTACAGTCACTGTCCATCAGCATAGTAAAATGCTATAGAATGATTACTTGTCTTCTCTGTATATACTGCCTTCCCCATGTTTCCAACCCCCTACATTATGTGTGCTAATCATAAAGCTCCATTTTCCCCCTTATCCCTCCCTTCCCACCCATCCTCCTCAGTCCCTTTCCCTTTGGTAACTGTTAGTCCATTCTTGGGTTCTGTGAGTCTGCTGCTGTTTTGTTCCTTCAGTTTTTGTGTTTTGTTGTTATACTCCACAGATGAGTGAAATCATTTGGTACTTGTCTTTCTCCACCTGGCTTATTTCACTGAGCATAACACCCTCTAGCTCCATCCATGTTGTTGCAAATGGTGGGATTTGTTTTCTTCTTATGGCTGAATAATATTCCATTGTGTATATGTACCACCTCTTCTTTATCCATTCATCTACGGATGGACACTTAGGTTGCTTCCATTTCTTGGCTATTGTAAATAGTGCTGCGATAAACATAGGATCTACACCTCTTCTTAAGACAGTCTTGAAGAGACTGTTACACTTTCTCTCTCTGCCGATTTCCTTTCTCCTAAAGCTCTGCCTCTTTCCTTTTCCTGTCAACTCAGACTTCAGAGATTCTTTTTTCCTATTTCTATTTTGAATGATCTCCCTTGATGTATGTTGTGTGTATTTTCTTTTCTTCTTGTATGCTGTGGTTAATAGATACTAAAATATATTTTTGTGTATTTTTCAAAACATTTGTATATAAGTATGTTTTTTCTTTTTTACCTTGGATACTGACATCTGGTTTTTAATTAATAGTAATAGGTTAATGTTTTATATGACCATGCTAAAAATAGATATGAATAACTTATGTATAAGAACTCTTTATAAGTAGAATATTAACCCTTTAACTGTAATACGTCATAAAATTTTTCTTCATATTATTTACCTAAGATTACAATTTAGTTAGCATGCTTTCACAAAGTGAGACTGTAATGTATGAGAGGATTGTAATTTATAGATTTGTTTATTTTATTTGATAGAGCATAATATCTGCTAAAATAATTATTAAATATTTGCTTTTAAAGAACTTGACTTACTCATTCTGCACATTTCTGCAGACTTAAGAAACTCTTAAATAGGACAAGAAAGAAGTTAAATGAATATGAAAATGGAGAGCTTTGTTTCCATGGAGATTTAAAACCCGATCAAACTGAAATGGACATTCAGATTAATAAACTAAAACATAAGGTAATTTTCAATCAATTTTGGGACCCAGTATCACTTAATGTTGGGAAATATAAATCGTTCAATGCTTTGAGCAGGAAAATGCAGATTTGTCCATTAGTTTATAGACTTGATACATTTTTTTATCAAATGTATTGCAATTATCAAAAGGATTGCAATTAATTGACCTATAGTGAAAAATTGACCTATAGTAACTATTTGCCAAGCAGAGCAGGGACTCTCCTGCCATTCCCACTCCTGCCATTCTCACTCTCCTTTGCTGAGTCCCTTATGTCTTGAACCCTTGCTGGTGCTCTAAAAGCAAGCAACACACCATTGTACAACCCTGTAGCACAGGCACCACCTCATTGTCGCCAAGTAAAAGTAACAGCTGTATTGAGATAAAATGATCATCCTACCAGTTCACTCATTCAGTGTTTACATACAATTCAGTGGCTTTTAGTTTCTTCAGAGAGTACCACAATCAATTTCAGAACTTTTCATCACCCTTAAGAGAAACGCCATACATTTAGCTGTGACCCTGTGCAGTTTCCCCTTCCCTACTCTTCTCAGCCCTAGGGAAACACTACTCTGCCCTGTGTTTTTACAGATGTGCCTACCCTGAACATTTCATATCAGTGGAATCACACAGTATGTGGCCTTTGTGACTGTCTTCTTTCATTTACTGTAATGTTTTCAAGGTACATGTATTTCATAGCATGTGTCAGTATTTCATTTCATTTTATTGCTAAATAATACTCCATTTTATGGACATACTGCACTTTATCTGTTTATCAGTTAATGGACCCTGGGTTGTTTCCACGTTTTGGCTAATGTTAATAATGCTGCTTTGAACATTCATGTACAAGTTTTTGTGTGAGCATATGTTTTCATTTCTCTTGGGTATATACTTTGAATGAAATTGCTGGATCATATGGTAACTCTGTGTTTAACCTTTTGAAGAACTGCCAGTCTGTTTTCCAAAGTGGCTGCACATTTCATATTTTCATTAGTAGTGTTTGAGGGTTCCTTTTTTTCTACATTCTTGCCAACATTTCTCACTATCTGTCTTTTTTAGCATAGCCATCCTGGTGGGTGTGAAATGGCATCTCATTCTTGTTTTGATTTTCATTTTTATGATGAGTAATGATGTTGAGCATCTTTTTATATGCTTATTAACCATTCATGTATCTTCTTTGAAGACCTGTCTATTCAGTTACTTGGCCCATTTTGATATTGGAGTCTTTTTGTAAGTGAATTGTGAGAGTGATTTATATATCCTAGATACAAATCCCTTATCAGTTAAAGGGATTTCAGATATTTTCTCCTTTTCCATAGCTTGCCTTTTCATTTTCTTGATGAAGTCCACTTAATCTACTTTTAGCTTTTGGTGTCGTGCCTGAGAAGCCATTGCCAAATCTTGTCACAAGGACATACACCTTTGTTTTCTCTTATGAGTTTTATAATTTTAGCTCTCACATTTTGAGCTAATTTTGTATATATGCTATGAAGTAGAGGTCTGATTTTATTCTTCTGTATATGCATATTTAGTGGTCCCAGTACCACATATTATAAACACAATTCTTGTCTCATTTAATAGTTTGGCGCTCTTGTTGAAAATCAATTCACCATAAATTGAGAGTTTATTTTGTATTCCCGATTCTAATACAGTAGTCTACATGTCTATCCTATGCAAGTACCAAATCAAATTTTATGAGAACTCTTTCCTGGTTGTCTTGTGTATTACCACTTGTTTACATGATAATAAAAAGTCAGTGTAGCCAACTGACTGCTCTCCACTCCTGTGGAGAATTTTTGCATCTCAGAGAGCCTTTGCCCAGCTTATGTCTGGCTGGCTCTGTGACATGATGGGAAGTCAGGCTAACAAAGGTAGAGCCCATTCCCTTTTCTCCCACACCTTTAGTTTCTCACCCAGTTCCCGCACTCCAGTCCCATTTACATCAGTCTGGGTCACAGGATCTGCTGACTCAGTCTGTGTACTTCATTATATTTCATTGACTCATTATAGTGCATAGACTGATCCATAGATTTCACCATCTGGGAAGGAAGAGATGAAGTCTGGGCTTTGGCTTTCCTGTCTGGACATCTTGCTAATTCATCATCTTGCATTTCAGAATTAAATACTGTTTTGGCCTGGTTCTTGTGTGTAACATTGGGCCTGACTTTGTTCTTGGTGTTGACCCTACATTCTCAGAAATCACAGTTCTCTGTATCCACCTTCTTTTACTTAAGCAGAAAGAGATGCATAGCTGTGTTTTATAGCTCAGTACATAATTAGTGGAATCATATTCATTCTATCCAAACAAAAAATGTCAAGAGTACAGCTGTTAAAAGGCAGGAAATATTCAAGTAATTATTGATTAGTCATTGATTTACTCAGAATGTCAAAGCCAAATTGTATGATACAGAGAAAAATTATAGTACTACATAAAGATGGAATGGTTTTACTTCCCCATACTAACAAGCTTGAAGTAAAGTGAAGGAGAAATTATATTTAACTTAAATACACAGCCAGGTGTCCTACAGACTACAGCCAGGAAAAGTGTGGCCAGGACAGCTTGTCTCTGTTCCTCTCAGCTTCAACTGGGGCAACTCAAAGGCTGGGGCAGGAGTCACCTGGAGTCCACTCACCTGGCTGGCTGCTGGTTTGGGCCCTGGCTGGGACTTTAGTTGGGCCAGGCAACTGGGACACCTGGCCTGTCCAGGCTGACCAGCCTTGGGATGCAGACAGCATCACCTTCACCATGTTCTGTTCATTGGGAGCAAGTCACTGAGGTTGGCCCATATTCTAGCTTTTTTAAAGGAATGAACATTTTAAAAGTTAGGGATACATTTGAAAAGCACAATTTTTAATTATCCTCCCACATGAGAAATGCACTCCAATTAGTATGTTAAATACTTGAAACCAATTTAATACTGTATGTCAATTATACTTGAAATAAAAAAACAAAAAGTATATATCCACATAGCCAAAACACCAGTCAAGATATATAAAACATTTCCATTAAAAAAAGGAGAATAGACTAACCCCCACCCAATACCTGCCTGCCAAGCCTCAGTGGTGATGGCATCTGGTTGAGGCTTGAGTCCGAGGTCTTACCATCTTCATCAGGTGCAGATGCAGACAGGTGTCTGGGCTGTGGTTTCTAGAGTTTAGCCATTGGAGTACAATTCCTCTCAATATGAAGACTGAGAACTGAAGAGACAAGTTATCTACCATCCACTGGGCCAACATTCTGCTGACCTGCTCAAGACTCTCCCATTCAGAATGGAAAGTGGGAGACACATTAGTCCATTGCTATTCTGAAATGCAGCCTGATGCACACTGCTAGTTCTTTGAGGAAGATAGTCCTAATTATGGGAATGCCTTTCAGTGGCCCTTTCCTGTACCTCTGAGCTTTCTGCTCTGTCTTACTTATAAGAAATGGCTTGTGTTTGCACTGTTTACTCATGCTTCCTACCTATAGAACTTCTAAGACCCAAAGGCCTCTTTTCATTTGTTTTCTCTTGGTCTCTTTCAGTCCAGGCCAGCAAGCAGTGTTTTTGCTACTACTGCTTTAACAACCTTGAGTTTCTTGTGACTTTTACTGAGGTTCATGCTATTAAGAAAGCTACCCCCACAGACATTTTGAGATAAGCTCTTCACTTTGGACTTCTTGTGAAGCTATTGTAGGATGGGTGCCTTAAAACATAAACTCTGAAGATCCTTAGAGGAATGTGATGCACTCTGCCTTAAATCTTTCTGAGGTCTTATGAAAGGTTTATAGTGTTGGCTTCAACCTTAGACCATGTTTTCCTGGCAGCACCCTGGATATGATCTTAGTTCAGATGTCATTTCTTTTAGAATTATTTGGCAATTAGACATGAGGAAAGGCTGTAATTGGGAAACAGATATTTGACCCTAGTAAGCCCTAGTTCCTTTATGTGTAATCATCTTCTTCAACTTATCTTGCCCCTTGATCTTTACTTCCAGCTGCTTTGGAGCAAGAGTCCCCTTTCCTCCAGGTTCCAGTGTCACTGTCTTTCCCTGCCTAGAAGCCCTTGCTGTCAGCCTCTTCAGGGGCTGTCAGGCTTATTGAAGAACTGCCAGTCTGTTTTCCAAAGTGGCTGCACATTTCATATTTTCATTAGTAGTGTTTGAGGGTTCCTTTTTTTCTACATTCTTGCCAACATTTCTCACTATCTGTCTTTTTTAGCATAGCCATCCTGGTGGGTGTGAAATGGCATCTCATTCTTGTTTTGATTTTCATTTTTATGATGAGTAATGATGTTGAGCATCTTTTTATATGCTTATTAACCATTCATGTATCTTCTTTGAAGACCTGTCTATTCAGTTACTTGGCCCATTTTGATATTGGAGTCTTTTTGTAAGTGAATTGTGAGAGTGATTTATATATCCTAGATACAAATCCCTTATCAGTTAAAGGGATTTCAGATATTTTCTCCTTTTCCATAGCTTGCCTTTTCATTTTCTTGATGAAGTCCACTTAATCTACTTTTAGCTTTTGGTGTCGTGCCTGAGAAGCCATTGCCAAATCTTGTCACAAGGACATACACCTTTGTTTTCTCTTATGAGTTTTATAATTTTAGCTCTCACATTTTGAGCTAATTTTGTATATATGCTATGAAGTAGAGGTCTGATTTTATTCTTCTGTATATGCATATTTAGTGGTCCCAGTACCACATATTATAAACACAATTCTTGTCTCATTTAATAGTTTGGCGCTCTTGTTGAAAATCAATTCACCATAAATTGAGAGTTTATTTTGTATTCCCGATTCTAATACAGTAGTCTACATGTCTATCCTATGCAAGTACCAAATCAAATTTTATGAGAACTCTTTCCTGGTTGTCTTGTGTATTACCACTTGTTTACATGATAATAAAAAGTCAGTGTAGCCAACTGACTGCTCTCCACTCCTGTGGAGAATTTTTGCATCTCAGAGAGCCTTTGCCCAGCTTATGTCTGGCTGGCTCTGTGACATGATGGGAAGTCAGGCTAACAAAGGTAGAGCCCATTCCCTTTTCTCCCACACCTTTAGTTTCTCACCCAGTTCCCGCACTCCAGTCCCATTTACATCAGTCTGGGTCACAGGATCTGCTGACTCAGTCTGTGTACTTCATTATATTTCATTGACTCATTATAGTGCATAGACTGATCCATAGATTTCACCATCTGGGAAGGAAGAGATGAAGTCTGGGCTTTGGCTTTCCTGTCTGGACATCTTGCTAATTCATCATCTTGCATTTCAGAATTAAATACTGTTTTGGCCTGGTTCTTGTGTGTAACATTGGGCCTGACTTTGTTCTTGGTGTTGACCCTACATTCTCAGAAATCACAGTTCTCTGTATCCACCTTCTTTTACTTAAGCAGAAAGAGATGCATAGCTGTGTTTTATAGCTCAGTACATAATTAGTGGAATCATATTCATTCTATCCAAACAAAAAATGTCAAGAGTACAGCTGTTAAAAGGCAGGAAATATTCAAGTAATTATTGATTAGTCATTGATTTACTCAGAATGTCAAAGCCAAATTGTATGATACAGAGAAAAATTATAGTACTACATAAAGATGGAATGGTTTTACTTCCCCATACTAACAAGCTTGAAGTAAAGTGAAGGAGAAATTATATTTAACTTAAATACACAGCCAGGTGTCCTACAGACTACAGCCAGGAAAAGTGTGGCCAGGACAGCTTGTCTCTGTTCCTCTCAGCTTCAACTGGGGCAACTCAAAGGCTGGGGCAGGAGTCACCTGGAGTCCACTCACCTGGCTGGCTGCTGGTTTGGGCCCTGGCTGGGACTTTAGTTGGGCCAGGCAACTGGGACACCTGGCCTGTCCAGGCTGACCAGCCTTGGGATGCAGACAGCATCACCTTCACCATGTTCTGTTCATTGGGAGCAAGTCACTGAGGTTGGCCCATATTCTAGCTTTTTTAAAGGAATGAACATTTTAAAAGTTAGGGATACATTTGAAAAGCACAATTTTTAATTATCCTCCCACATGAGAAATGCACTCCAATTAGTATGTTAAATACTTGAAACCAATTTAATACTGTATGTCAATTATACTTGAAATAAAAAAACAAAAAGTATATATCCACATAGCCAAAACACCAGTCAAGATATATAAAACATTTCCATTAAAAAAAGGAGAATAGACTAACCCCCACCCAATACCTGCCTGCCAAGCCTCAGTGGTGATGGCATCTGGTTGAGGCTTGAGTCCGAGGTCTTACCATCTTCATCAGGTGCAGATGCAGACAGGTGTCTGGGCTGTGGTTTCTAGAGTTTAGCCATTGGAGTACAATTCCTCTCAATATGAAGACTGAGAACTGAAGAGACAAGTTATCTACCATCCACTGGGCCAACATTCTGCTGACCTGCTCAAGACTCTCCCATTCAGAATGGAAAGTGGGAGACACATTAGTCCATTGCTATTCTGAAATGCAGCCTGATGCACACTGCTAGTTCTTTGAGGAAGATAGTCCTAATTATGGGAATGCCTTTCAGTGGCCCTTTCCTGTACCTCTGAGCTTTCTGCTCTGTCTTACTTATAAGAAATGGCTTGTGTTTGCACTGTTTACTCATGCTTCCTACCTATAGAACTTCTAAGACCCAAAGGCCTCTTTTCATTTGTTTTCTCTTGGTCTCTTTCAGTCCAGGCCAGCAAGCAGTGTTTTTGCTACTACTGCTTTAACAACCTTGAGTTTCTTGTGACTTTTACTGAGGTTCATGCTATTAAGAAAGCTACCCCCACAGACATTTTGAGATAAGCTCTTCACTTTGGACTTCTTGTGAAGCTATTGTAGGATGGGTGCCTTAAAACATAAACTCTGAAGATCCTTAGAGGAATGTGATGCACTCTGCCTTAAATCTTTCTGAGGTCTTATGAAAGGTTTATAGTGTTGGCTTCAACCTTAGACCATGTTTTCCTGGCAGCACCCTGGATATGATCTTAGTTCAGATGTCATTTCTTTTAGAATTATTTGGCAATTAGACATGAGGAAAGGCTGTAATTGGGAAACAGATATTTGACCCTAGTAAGCCCTAGTTCCTTTATGTGTAATCATCTTCTTCAACTTATCTTGCCCCTTGATCTTTACTTTCAGCTGCTTTGGAGCAAGAGTCCCCTTTCCTCCAGGTTCCAGTGTCACTGTCTTTCCCTGCCTAGAAGCCCTTGCTGTCAGCCTCTTCAGGAGCTGTCAGGCTTCCACTCACAGGCTCCTGGAGGCCCTGCTGTTTTTCATTCCGACTCTTCTCTACCTCCTTTCAGGTTCCATCTATCGCCCTGTTCAAAGGCACTCTTTATGTGTTTGTTTGTTTTTTAATGGCAGCACCCCATTTTTAATATCAGTATCTGTGCCAGTTACTTACTGCTGCATAATAAACCACCTCAAAACCTAGTGGCTCAAAACAGTACTTATTTTGTTCACAAATCTACAGTTTAGCAAGGCTCAGTGAGGCAAGCTTGGGATGACGTGCCACTGGGGACTAGAATCACCTGAAGGCTCTTCACATGTTTGGCAGTTGAAGCTGGCTTTATTTTTTTTTAAGTATTGTTGATATACTATCTGACATTGCTTTCAAAGTTTCCCCTATTGTTAAATCCTCACCTCCTGTAGTGTGGTTACTATAAACAGATGTTACAGAACCATTGACTATATTCTCCATGCTGTACTACAGTTCCCATGACCAACTAACAGTGGGATTGGGAGTTATTGTGCCTCTTTATCCCCCTCACCCTCCCCACCAACCTGCCCCAACCCCTCCTTCTTGGTAACCACTAATCACTTCTCAGTGTCTATGAGTCTACTGCTAATTTGTTCCTTCTGTTTTGCTTTATTTTTGTATTCCACAAATGAGTGAAATCATATGGTACTTGTCTTTCCATGCTTGGTTTATTTCACAGAGCATAATACCCTGTAGATCCATCCATTTTGTTGCAAATGGCAGGATTTCTTTCTTTTTATGGCTAAATAATATTCCTTTGTGTATATGTACCACATCTTCCCTAGCCATTCATCTACTGATGGACACTTAGGTTGCTTCCATATCTTGACTTTGTAAATAATGTGGTGATAAACATAGGGGTGCATATGTCTTTTCAAGTTAGGGATTTTGTTGTCTTTAGGCAAATTCTTAGAAGTGAAATTACTGGATTGAATGGTATTTCTATTTTTAGTTTTTTGAGGAATATCCATATTGCTTCCCATTTTGGCAATTGTACCAATTTACATTCCCACAAGCAGTGTAGGAGGGTTACCGTTTCTCCACATCCTCACTTGTTATTTCTTGTCTTTTGGTTAATGGCCATTCTAACTGATGTGAGTTAATACCTCATTGTGGCTTTGATTTGCATTTCCCTAATGATTAACAATATGGAGCATCTTCTCACATGACTGTTGGTCATTTGTATTTCTTCTTTGGAGAAGTGTCTATTCAGGTCCTCTGCCCATTTTTTAATTGGGATATTTGTTTTTTGGATGTTGAGGCATATGTTCTTTAGCTATTTTGGATGTTAACCCAAAGCTGGTATTGTCTGGCACATAGCTAGGGCAGTCTCGGCTGGCACATATATACAAGGAAGGATTCACTGGGGGCCCTGGGCTTCTTCACAGCAAGGTAGCTGGGTTCCAAGGTGAGCTTCCCTAGAGAGAGAGAATTAGATGGAAGCTGTTTCACATTTTCTAACCCAGCCTGAGGAGTCACATAGCAGTTCCACCTTATTCTCTTCACTAGAATTCAGGTAGTGAGGGCACACATACCAAAAGGGAGAGAATTCCGTGGGAAAGGTGTCAAAGAATTCTGTAAAACCACCACATCCACTCATCTTGTCTTAGAAAGTAATTATTATATCTAAAGGAAAATAGTTCTTCCCAGCTCAGTATCACTGAAATTCCAGCAAGTATTTTTCTTTTTTCTTTTATTTAGTATGTTTTCTTATTTGATGGAAAGTAATTAAAGATTACAGATAGCAATGTGGAATTGTCTCATTTTTTGAAAATATGGATCATTTCACTAAAATTTCTTAGTGGAAGATGTGAATTCTCCTTAACCCTGACAATTATCTCCTTGGAACGTGATTTAAATTAGTATAAAACATTTGTAGTTGAGAAAAAGGCTTATGGCATTAGAATCCATATTTATGGATCATTAATTAGTCTTAGTCTTCAAAGTTTTATTTTGGGAGGCATTTATTGACTCAGGCCTAAATAACTCAGTGTGATGGCTCTAAAACTTCTTTTAAAATTATGAAGAGTTAAGATGGGGGAACCCTTCTACCGAGAGGTAACATATAATCATTTTATGGAGAAAGACATGGAATAATAATAGAAAAATAGAGGAGTATAGGGTCAAGTGCAAATGTTGTATGGCAAAGATGATGACAGTAAATTATATATTTTTGTGTCTCCTGGTGATTTTAATTTTGTTCCTGATTTTCTGAGTAATTTAAGTTTCAATGTTCTAAGACTCTACTATGGTATGGGTAGCGTTTTATTGTAACTGAATTTATTTCAAAACTTGATACTGGCTTTGACTTGGACTATTCTCAGTCCACCTTCGTAATTACTAAACTAATTATTTTATTCATGCAGATTGATGATCTTACAGCAAAACTGGAAACTTCATCTTCAAAATGTCAAAATCTAGATGCAAGAAATCAAGTTCTTCAACAGGAGCTATTATCTATGAGAGCAATGCAAAAGAAATGTGAAAAACTAGAGAGGAATAAAAAGAAGTTGGAAGAGAAAGTAGTAAACCTCAGGACTCATATAGAAATAAATATGGTAGAACACAGCCAAGTAAAACTGTATAAGCGGGACATTGAAGAAAGAGCAAGACAGGAAATAGTAGAAAAATTAAAAGAAGTCAATCTGTTTTTACAGGTTAATTTATTAATCTGTAATATGCCTTAATTTCACTGCAGATTACATTTTGGATATATACATTGTTTCCTCTACTTAGAGCAGTTTGTTTTATAGATTTCTGGAGGGAAGGTGGCATATGTTTGTCCCTTTAAATATTTCAGTTTCCATTGTTATTATCACAAAATTGACCTTTCAGAATGATTCTCACTAGATAATCATTTTATTTTAAGTCTGGTTGGTATAAGAATATTAAGATGAAAAGAAAAATTGTGAATTAAAAATTATACCATACTCTTAGATTATATTGTTTAATTTTAAATATTTTAAATTGATTCTGTTACTCTTTGAATCGTCATATTACATGAATACTAAGATAAAACTGATTCAACTCTATTTTTATAATTCAGATTTAATTCAGTTGAGGTCCTGATAAATATATTAAACTTCAGCTTTATTTTTCACGTTTAAAATTGCTCTCTGAATCACTGACTCAGAACCAGAGGGAACAAATATGTTATAATTATTCAGGTTATAATTATTTTAAAAATGTATCCTTTCAATTTGCTTTAGGCACAAGCAGCATCTCAAGAAAAGTTAGAGCAGTTGAGAGAAAATAATAGTGCTTCAATAAGAAGCCAGATGGAACTCAGAATTAAAGACCTGGAATTTGAGCTCTCCAAAACAAAAACTTCTCAATATTCTAGTAAAACAGAATTGGAAAAATACAAGCAACTCTACCTGGAAGAATTAAAAGTTAGAAATTCATTGGAAAATAAACTAAACATGTAAGTCAAAACATAGAGTCATAGAAAATAAATTGAGCTCATTAGTTTGCTTCTAAAGCATTGTTTTTATCGAGCCAGGTTTATAAGTGTAGTAGGAAGTGAAAGCTAACTGTATAGTAAACTTTGGAAAATGATGTTCATTAATAAAGTTACCTTCAAAATGTTAGTCCAGCACAGTTTGTATCTCTCTCCCATTGTTTGGTTTTACATGACTTTTTTTTCTCTCTTAATATTTTCATTGGTACCCTAACCCACTATTGATTAAGCATGGTGTTTTGGAAGCTTTATAATTTAGATCATGATAACATTATAAAATTGCTTTTCAGAATTTCCCTAAACAGAAATATTAATAAGATTAATAAGTTTAACTATTTCTTGGCAGACTACGTCTTAAACCCAAAGGGCCAAGAATTGTTACTCAGCACACCCTGGCACTTGGAAATTTATTTTCTTGATTTTGATCTTTGGTGTCATCACGAGAGGGCTCCTTGAGACAGACTATCCTTTATGGTTTTTCTGCTCTACGTAAACGCATGCATGTGAAGTAGGGAAATACTAACATAGGGATGAAGAGCAGTATAATTCATAAAGTGGCTAAAAATAACACTGGACTGCCTGAGGGGTGCATGGAAAACAGAAAGGATGGATCCCTTGGTGATATTATTATATGCTAATTGCATCCAGAGCTATTTTAGTTCTTTTTGATTACCCTCTCCTCTCTTTCTTGCCTAGATATTGTTGCTCTAAATTATTCCTCAGTGCCAAATGCTTAATTTTTCTGAGGTAATGAAACATAAAAGGGTGAGGAAAGCAAATGTGTGAAAATTCTTTGAGGGATGCTTTATGTTTTATTGCTAAACTGGTTTACTAAATAGGTCTAAGTGGCCTCCTCAAGAATCTTTTAAATACAGCTATTCCAGAAGGCAGCAGGCATTGCCAGTAAGCCACCTGCATTGCTCATAGCCGTTTCTCTCCCTTCCCTCCTTTGAATTACTTGTTACTTCGGAATCCCCCTAGAAAAATATGTACTTCTTTACAAGTTTAAGCCTATAATTGTATACAGTAAGTCTTTGGCACATTTTCAGTGCTAAAACAGTTCTATAAGAAGTGCTATTTACTGTTACAGTAAGTTTTTAAAAATGCAACTTATTTAGGTATCATTTAAGGAAAAATTAGTAAGCATTTCTTATTCCAGTCTCTACAGGACTAATGAGAGGCTAACAGAGATCAATGCCAAAATTCTTGAGGAAAACCAGCAGAACAGAACTTTACTCAGCACTCTTACTATGAGGCCAGCGCTGGAAGCAACTTGCATTGGAAATCTTAAAGATTCAGTGCTCAATAGAAATCTTACTCCAAGAGAAAACTTACTGATTCCTACCCCAAACCCGCGGACTTCAGATAACATAGAGACATTCCTTGCCAAGGTTAGTCACGCTGTTGTTTTTTCTCTTGTGTTTCAAATTTCTGATATAATTCTTGTTTTTAATGTTGTGAAAGTCTGAGTTGTTTGATTACTGCATACTAAGTAAAATTCGTAATTATCTGGGCTTATAAGAAAGGAGACAAAAATTTTGTTTTATTAAGTACTTGGGTCTCTCATTTTTAAGAGATACCTACTGTTAACTTTAGTCAGGAAGTAGAACTAAATTGACACAGTTTAAATTTCTTGAAAAGTTGAATCTTGAAAAAAATGTATCAGTGCTGCATTAAATTTGATTTTAGAAATTAACTTTTACTGCCTCATAACCACAGGTAGACTTTGAGATGCTTTGGCTTACTTTCTGATTGATTTCAGTGGTGGGGAATGATCCTTTTAATGTAATGTTGAGTTCTGTTTGTTAACATTTTGTTGAGGATTTTTGCATCAATGTTCATCAGAGATATTTGTTTGTAATTTTATTTTATTTTGGTAGTGTCTTTGTCTGGTTTTGGTATCAGGATAATGGATAATGGATAAACTCAGAATGAATTTGGAAGCATTCCTTTGTCTTCAATTTTTTGGAAATATTGATAGTAGTTATTAACTCTTCTTTAAATGTTTGGTGGAATTCATCTGTGAAGACTTCTATTCATGGACTTTTGTTTGCTCAGGATTTTTTTTTTTATAACTATTCAATTCATTACTGGTAAGCAGTGTGACCAGATACTCTATTTCCTCCTGATTCAGTCTTGGAAGATTGTGTTTCTAAGAATTTTTCCATTTCTTCTCTGTTGTCCAGCTTATTGGCATATAATGTTTCATAGTCTCTTATAATCCTTTGTATTTTTGGGTGTCAGTTGTAACTTCTCCTTTTGAATTTCTCATTTTATTTATTGGGGTCCTCTCTTTTTTTCTTGATAAGTCTGACTAAAGGTTTATCAATTTTGTTTATCTTTTCAAAGAAACAGGTCTTAGTTTCATTGATCTTTTCTCCTTTTTTGTCTTTATTTCATTTATTTCCACTGTAATGTTTACTAATTCCTTCCTTCTACTAATTTTGGACTTTGTTTTGCTCTGTTTTTTCCTAATTCCTTTAGGAGTAAGGTAAGATTGTTTATTTGAGGTTTTTTTTCTTTATTGAGGTAGACCTGTTTAAACTTCCCTCTTAGAACTGCTGTTACTGAGTCCCAAGGATTTTGGAATGTTGTGCTTCCGTTTTCATTTGTGTCTCAAGGTATTTTTCTTATTTCCTCTCTGATTTCTTTGTTGGTTTGGTAGCATGTTTAGCCTATACCTTTGGTGTTTTACAGGTTTTTTCTTGTAATCGACTTCTAGTTTAATGCCATTGTAGTTGCAAAAGATGCTGGATAAGATTTCAGTCTTCTTAAATTTATTAAGACTTGTTTTATTGCCTAACATGTGATCTGTCCTGCAGAATCTTCCATGTGCATTTCAAAAGAATATGTATTCTGCTGTTTTTAGATGGAATGTTTTGTATGTATCTGTTAATTCCATCTGGTCTATTGAATCTTCCAAGACAATGTTTCCTTATTGATTTTCTGCCTGGATTATCAATCTGTTGATGTAGGTGTGGTGTTAAAGTTCTCTACTATTATTTCATTACTGCTGATTTCTCCCTTTATTTGTGTTTATATTTCGATGTTCCTATGTTGGGTACATAGATATTTTTTGTGGCAGGTGGGAGCCACTTTGGAAGGGCACCTGCCAGGGTGAGAATTTGTGTGGGGCAGTGTTCAGGTGAGCACTGAGGCAGTGTGAGTGGTGTCAGCAAAGTGGATGGAGAGTGTCAGAATTCATTCCCACCAGGGTGAGGCTGGAGAGGCTGAGGGAAAGCAAAAAAAATGGAAGGACTTTACATTTTGAGAGAAAAATCCCTACCTATCTGTAGGAATTTGCCCTGCCCCTGTGACACATGCCCTAAAATGAGTCAATAAATCTTTATGTATAATTCAGGCATTTTTCAAAATGCTTCCTCTGTGCTGGATCTCAGAGCAAGTGATATTGTGCATAGGCCCTTAAAGAACACTGTCTCAGTTTCCTGTAGCCCTCTGGCACTCCCAGAGTTAAAAGCCCCACTGATTTTCAAAGCCACATTTTATGGGGGCTCATCTTCCTGGTGGAGATATCCAGAGCAGGGGTGGGGCTTGAACCTATTGTTCCTCGGGGAGGACCCAGGATGTCCCTCCCACTTGGGAGTTACTGCACTGTGGGTTGGTTCCCAGCTGCATCTCTGTCCCTCCTTTCTTGATGTGGCTTTTTTATATCTCCAGCTGTGGAAGAGCTGTTTTGCTAGTCCTCAGGTTGTTCTCATAGTTGGTCATACTATATGTAGCTGCAGCCTTAGTGTTTCCATCAGGGAAGGTGAACTCAGGATTTTCCTTCTGTGCTGTCTTCCCCTCTCTTCTCCCATACAGTACTATCAACAATGCTTTCTAAATGGGGTTATGCAAAACATCAGAGTAAAACAGTTAATATTCCTAAGACCCAACTTTTTACATTATAGAACTGTATCTCAACAGATTACTGAGTCACATTTCTTCCTGTTTACCTCCAAAGGCAATGCCTGCTCTGAATTCTAACTCTAATCAAACTGTCCGAATAGTTAAGCTAGTTTCTTATAAGGCAGAGACAGAGTTTAATAAACTTGTTTAGTATGCCCATTATATGCTGTGTATAGTTCCCCATGTCCTTGCTTCATTTTGCCTACTTAGACAAATACCCAGTAAGCATCTTATCTTTTGAAAGATACAAGTAATCACTCAGCTTTTTCCAATTCATTTCTCTCCCTACTTAATTTTTCAACACCTTAATCAACAATTATTTCCTCAGGTCTTTTCTCTGCAACAAGATGAATGTATTTAATATTTATAAACTTACAAGTGTAATTTCCTTCATACCTTAACCTATTTACAATTTGATAATGAATTGCAGTGGTTTAAATGGATAAACTTGTTTTCATTACATTTTTATATTTATTTTTGTAACATTTAAAATTAAAATGATCAAATTTTAACTTAAAATTATCAGTAGTTATTGAAAATGTGTGTGTATGTATGTGTTTGGCATATATGTATTAATGAATTGGTCTCAAAAAGAGTGCAACATTATTTTCCAACCAATAACATCAACTATAATTTTGTCAGGTAGCTTGTCAATAAATTATTATAATAATAATTATTAATTTATTAATTTTGATATGGTTAATGTAAAATTCCTTGAACCACATTATGGTTACTAGACTCCCCCTATTATCAAGTCAACCGACATACCCCATTACAGTCACTGTCCATCAGTGTAGTAAGATGCTGTAGAATCATTACTTGTCCTCTCTGTATATACTGCCTTTCCTGTGTCCCTCCCCACTGCTACATTATGTGTGCTAATCATAATGCCCCTTTTACCCCCTTATCCCTCCCTTCACATCCATCCGCCCCAGTCACTTTCCCTTTGGTAACTGTTAGTCCATTCTTTGGTTCTGTGAGTCTGCTGCTGTTTTATTCCTTCAGTTTTTTCCTTTGTTCTTATACTTCACATATGACTGAAATCATTTGATACTTGTCTTTCTCTGCCCGGCTTATTTCACTGAGCATAATACCCTCTAGCTCCATCCATGTTGTTGTAAATGGTAGGATTTGTTTTCTTCTTATGGTTGAATAATATTCCATTGTGTATATGTACTACATCTTCTTTATTCATTCATCTACTGATGGACACTTAGGTTTCTCCCATTTCTTGACTATTGTAAATAGTGCTGCGATAAACTTAGGGGTGCATCTGTCTTTTTCAAACTGGGATGCTGCATTCTTTGGGTAAATTCCTTGAAGTGGAATTCCTGGGTCAGATGGTATTTCTATATCGAGTTGTTTGAGGAACCTCCATACTGTTTTCCACAATGGTTGAACTAATTTACATTCCTACCAGCAGTGTAGGAGGGTTCCCCTTTCTCCACATGGTCGCCAATAATTGTTAGTGTTTGTTTTTTGGATGGGGGCCATCTTAACTGGTGTGAGGTGATATCTCATTCTGGTTTTAATTTTCATTTTTCTTATGATTAACACTATGGAGCGTCTTTTCATGTGCCTGTTGGCCATCTGAATTTCTTCTTTGGGGAACTGTCTATTCAACTCCTCTGCCCATTTTTAAATTTTGCTTGTTTGCTTTTTGTTTGTTGAGTTTTGTGAGCTTTTTATATAATTTGGATGTCAACCCCTTATTGGATATGTCATTTATAAATATATTCTCCCATATTGTAGGATGTCATTTTGTTCTACTGATGGTGTCATTTCCTGTACAGAAGCTTTTTAGTTTGATACAGTCCCACTTGTTCATTTTTACATTTGTTTCCCTTGTCCGGGAAGATATGTTCATGAAGAAGTTGCTCATGTTTTATGTCCAAGAGATTTTTGTCTATGTTTTTTTCTCAGAGTTTGTGGTTTCATGACTTACATTCAGGTCTTTGCTACATTTTGAGTTTACTTTTGTGTATGGAGTTAGACAATAATCCAGTTTCATTCTCTTACATGTAGCTGTCCAGTTTGGCAACACCAGCTGTTGAAGGGGCTGTCATTTCCCCATTGTATATCCATGGCTCTTTTATCATACATTAATTGACCATACGTGCTTGAGTTTATATCTGGCCTCTCTATTCTTTTCCACTGGTCTATGGGTCTGTCCTTGTGCCAGTACCAAATAGTCTTGATTACTGTGGCTTTGTAGTAGAGCTTGATGTCATGGAGCATAATTCCCCCTGCTTTATTCTTCCTTCTCAGGATTGCTTTGGCTATTCAGGTCTTTTGTGGTTTCATATGAATTTTAGAACTATTTGTTCCAATTCGTTGAAGAATGCTGTTGGCATTGAATCTGTAGATTGCTTAAGGTAGGATGGCCATTTTGACAATATTAATTCTTCGTAGCCAAGAGCATGGGATGAATTTCCATTTATTAGTGTCCTCTTTTATTTCTCCTAAGAGTGTCTTGTAGTGT